CAGCGAGAGAGGGAACACAAGCAGGGGGAGTGGGAAAGGGAGAAGCAGGCTTCCCGCTGAGCAGGGAGCCGACGTGGGGCTCAATCCCAGGACCCTGGTATCATGACCTGAGCCGAAGGCAGACGCTTAACGACTGAGCCACCCAGGCTCCCCTGGGATAGGGTTTCTTACCAGAACACAGATCAGTGAAAGAATGCTGGACAAACCAAATAAAGGAGGTAAGAAAAAGATGGACGTTAACATCCAAGTGGAGATGTTGAATAAATCTTCAGATGTATAAATGTAGATTGCAGAGTAGAGGGCTAGACTGGGATAAACAATTAGAGGTTATAAGGATGATTGAAATAATGGGCATGGTTGAAATTTCCCAGGAAGAGAGTAAGTGGCCATGCATCCCTCCAGCATCGTTACCTGAGGGCCGGAACACTTACGGAGCAATTTGTAATTGGAGGATTGTTTCTTTGTTTTGGAGGACATGATATTCCTAGTAACTGGGAAAAGAGTCCAGGGCATGGGACTATAACACTGTGCTGGGAACATTCCATCTCGTAAGAATGAAGTTGTTATGTGGATATTTTAATGGAATGTAACTTCCTTCTGTCAGTTATAATAAATGTCAGCTTATTTTCCATCTCATATTCATTTATATTGCATTTGGTTCTGTGCTAAATGTTTTATGTATGTCATCTAATTTAATCCTCACAACACATTAATGAAACTATTATTATCACCATATTTTACAGATGGGCTACTGTAGTCTCAGACTTTAAGCAATTTACTCAACATATTGCTAGGAAGCAGTGGAAATGAAATTTAAGTAAGGTCTACGTGAATTCAAAGACATTTCTACTTCATATCAAATGATACAGCAATGCCAATATTAGCTATGGTTTAGGATTATTGAGCCTCTGCTGTGTACCATGTAGTGTATTGAAGACTTTATATGCATTATCTCATTTAATGTTCATAATAACCTTATAAGGAAAGTACTGTTGTTATTCCTATTTAACAGTTGAGGAGTCTGAGGTTTAGAGATGTTAATTTAATGGTTGTCACATAGTAAGTGGTAGAGTCAGGGCTTGAACACTTCTGTTTGATTCCAAAGCCTGTGTGCATCACCAGTTCGCTCTCCTCTATCAAAAATAACTGAATCTTGGGGCGCCTGGGTGGCTCAGATGGTTAAGCGTCTGCCTTCGGCTCGGGTCGTGATCCCGGGGTCCTGGGATCGAGCCCCGCATCGGGCTCCCTGCTTGGCGGGGAGCCTGCTTCTCCCTCTCCCTCTACTGTTCTCCCTGCTTGTGCTCTCTCGAAGAGTAGTCATTTAAAAAAAAATAAATATATAACTGAATCTTTGAACAGTGGCTCTCTTCCCTGGCTGAGTATTAGAATCACCTGGGGAGCCTTAAACAAAATCGATGCCAAACCTCATCATCAAATATTCTGATTTAATTGATCAGGAATGCAGACTAGGCCTGGGATTTCTTTTTTAAAAAGCTTTTATTCATTCATCCAACTTATTCACTAAACATTTAATGTCTTCTGTATGCCAAGCACTTTCTAGGCATTTACTTCCTAGCAAGATGTATCAGTCAGCTCTTGTCACAATGATACGTAGCAACAATTATAAAATATTAGTGGCATGAAAAACTAAGAACTTACTTAGCACTTACTCTCACATTTCTGGAGTCCAGCCAGGATTCAGCTGATTAAGCAGGGCTTTGTGGGGCAACTGATTTAGGTTGGAGTGACTACTTTAGTTGCTTCAGGATGGTGAGTAAGCTGGTGCGGCTCTGCTTCATGCATTTCTCCTCAGACCACTGGACTAGCTGGCGCTTGTGTCTCTCCTGGCTCATCTCCTGCCAGTGGTAGAATCACAAGAGGGGACGTGTCCAACTGTGCAAGCATATTTCAAGCCCCTGCTTGAGTCACATCTGTGTATATTTCATTAGCCCAAGCAAGTCTCAAGGCTGAGCTCAAGCACGGGAGGTGGGGAAAGAAGCCTCGCTTCTGTTGTGTGGACTTGCAAAGTTCAGGGCAAAGGCTGAGAATTGGGGCCAATAATTCAATTTAGGTGGGAAAGAATAAAAATGAACAACAAGCAGTACACATAAGAAAATTACTAAGTGTGTTAGAAAGTGATAAGTAATAGTGCAAAAAAATTCTGGAGGGTGATAATGAAGGTGATCTTAATATGCAGCTAGGACTGAGAACCACTGATCTTACAGTGTTCAACCTGGAAAGAAACCTGGGCTAACATTCCCTCAGCCATTGTGAAAATAATAAAACAGATCCAGAAAGTAGAAGAATCTTACTCAAGGTCCATAGGTCCCTAGCTGTAGAAATGGATCTAGGGCCTATGTCCCCTAGCACTGTAGACTGTTTCTCTTATACCACAGTATTCCAATCTACGGTCTTAGAATTCTTTATTAATGGCACCAAAAATATGCTGTGGAAAGACACAGTCATTCTTTTTTACCTTGACCCTAGACATTAGAGGTGTACTGTCTAAATCCTGTGCTTCCTTTAGTAACCCAATTCAGAGCCCAATTTCACATTTCCCATATTTGTACTGTTCAAAAGTTTACAGACATTCTACCCTCTTTTAGTTTTTCTCCTCTTCAAGTTAAAGACTGTTGGTTTTGATCTATCTTCTTGTGACCCCATAGTCCCACCCTAGCAATCTACTTGATTATTGGGCCTTCTTTCTTCCCCAACTCTGTAACGCCTTGAGTCGTCTTTCTTGAGTTCCTTTTTACTTTGAGCCTCCACTAGGCCTTTCAGTCATCATTTCTGTTTTGGATTACAGTCTTCTTGATTTGCCAGGATGAACAGTCAAAAGAAAAGAAAAGATATGGAACCTGCTTGTACTTGGAGTTTATTGTCTGAACAGAAAGGTGAGTAACTGAATGAGGTAAGAGGGGGTATAATCTAGATAATCCTGTTCATTCTTTTTCTCCTACTTCTCCTCATGGACTTCGGGACTTTTTAGGTGTATATATATTGAGACATTACATGGATACAATATTTACCCATTAATAATCTCTTGAAAATGTCTCCACAATTTCTGTGTTTTCCGAAGTGAGGAAAAAGAAAAGAGAAGAGGCAACTGTGGTTTCTACTGTTTTCCATGATCCCCAAAGCATTTTTAACCCTAAAAGACCCTCAAGTCTCTCCCTTTACTGTAACCACAGATTTTGACAGGAGACAGCCCAAAAGAGCAAAGAGCGAAGATTGCTGGAGTCCTTCCCCTTGTGGCTGATTCCTGAACTCCAAGGAATATTTAGTTATGAGGAATAGAAATTGGTTATCTTCAACGGACCACTCACTTGCCTGCCCATTTCTGTGACATTCTAATATCTGCCTCTCCAGAGTCTGCTTCCTCCTATCCACCTAGTCACACCTTCTCCCAAGTATAAATCTCACTCTTGCTTTTAAAGGTATGCAAGTACTAAAAACCTATAGAAATGTGGAGGCTGTGTGTGCGTGTGCGCATGTGCGTGTGTGTATGTATGCACACGTGCCTGCATTTGTCTATTTCTATCTATATACCTATATGTGTAAGTATTTGGGCTGAGTCTCTGTGTATATGTATTTAAATTGTAGGTCATTGTATACATCTGTCACACTAACATCAGCAATGCCTTATTTCTCATTAACAAGTTAAGCTTAACAGAAGCCTCAACAAAAGCAATAGGCTAATGCTCAGAGGAAAGCAAAATACCAGAAACAGTCACTTCAAATACTGTATGCCTCTTTAAGTTAATGCCTAAAATTTTCCCTCTCTTTTTTTTTTATTTTTTTAAATTTTTTTAATTTTATGTATTTATTTATTTATTTATTTGACAGAGAGAGACACAGCGAAAGAGGGAACACAAGCAGGGGGAGAGGGAGAGGGAGAAGCAGACTCCCAGCTGAGCAGGGAGCCCGATGCGGGGCTCGATCCCAGGACCCTGGGATCATGACCTGAGCCGAAGGCAGACGCTTAACGACTGAGCCACCCAGGCGCCCCGCCTAAAATTTTCCTTACAGTGCATATAAATGTAAATGTTTATACCCTAAATATATGTGTGTGAAGGTCTCACATTAGTTATAAAATAATTTTGTGGGTAAGTTGGAATAGATGTGAGGTGACTTACTTCCTTGTATTTCTGCCTGGGGAGCAGTGTGAATTGCTGTAACAGTGTGGCTAAATTTCTGTATATTTCGTGTTTTGATATGAAGGTGTATTTGTGCTACTCTTTTTCTTTTTTTTTTTTTAAGATTTTTTTTTTATTTATTTATTTGACAGAGAAAGACACAGCGAGAGAGGGAACACAAACAGGGAGTGGGAAAGGGAGAAGCAGACTCCCTGCCGAGCAGGAGCCCGATGCGGGACTCGATCCCGGGACTCCAGGATCATGACCTGAGCCGAAGGCAGTCGCTTAACCGACTGAGCCACCCAGGCGCCCCTTTCTTTTTTTATTAACATATACCAACTCTTTCCTCCCACAGCTGCTTCAAATTCTCAGGCTCCATATTCATGGAAGGATCTCACAGGTAGATGTTTTCTCTCTTTTACTCTTTTTGTTTTGTGAAAAATGCCTCCTATAAACCTGGCTTCTCATCCGCATTCCATTCCCATCTCTCCCCCCATATTCATTGGACAGCAACCATTGATATCTTCTGACAAATAGGACTTTTAGATCACATAGAATAGGTATTTGAATACTAGCAGGACCACTGATTTTACTAGAACCAGCCATGCCCACTCATTTACATATTGTCTATGGCTACCTTCAAGCTAAGATGGCAGAGTTGGATAACTGCAACAGAGACCCCAAAGCCTAAACTATTTACAGAATTTTACAGAGGAAGTTTGCCAACACTTACCTGGATCAGCATTCCCCAAGCAGTTCTACAGAGCACTGTGGTCCAGGAGATAATAACTTCGCTCTTAGGAAAGGGTTCTATAGTCATTTAGGACTAGAGAGTGCTGGATTAAACCAAATTAAACAGCCTTTTTTTTTTTTCTTTTTTACTGTAGGCCATTTCAGATCCTTTCACATGCTAACATGCATTGAGAAACTCTAAAAGGAGACAAAGGGTGCATTCCCCTTAACTTATTGGACCGCTGGACTTCTTTTCCACAGCTCTCTTATTAATATCTTGTAAAATAGTTCTCCAACGAACAGTTATTTGGGAAATGCTAGCTTAGACATTCACCTAACAGAAGTTTAAACTTGATAACTGACTCCTTGGATTATTTTTTCTAGTTGCAGAAAGTGAAAAGCTATGTAGTATGGTATTTAAGCATATAGACCATGGCTTTAGACAAACCTTAATCTTAATTAAGTCTCTACCACTTACTAGCTGTTGAACCTTGGACAAGTTATCTAATGCAATAAGCAGGACTGGCCACATAATTGGTGGGCTGTGGTGCAAAATGAAAAGGCAGGACCCCTTATTCAAAAGTATTCAGAATTTCAAAATAGCAACAGCAGAGCATTATACTAGTGGTTCCTTCTGAGCATGAGACCCGTGCACAGATTGTACACCCATGAACTCATAATCCTGGTTATAAATATCAATGTCCTTAACTATAAAATGTGGATAATACTTACTTCATGGGATTATGGTAAGAATTAAATCAGAAATGTATATAAAGAGCCTAGTAAAGTGTCTGGCACAGAATAGGCAGTAATAAGTGACTTGTTTTTAATTCAAAAGCATTTATAGCCATATTCAATAATTACTTATTGAGTCTCTACTATGTGCCAGGCACCATGCTAGGTACTTAAGGTATTATGGTGAAGAATACAAATAAGGTCCCTGTCTTCATGTAGATTATTGTTTAGTGGGAAAGACAGTGAAAAAATAAACAACACAAATATAAATTGTGATAAGAGCTATAAAGCAAAAACAGGGTGCCAGGAAAGGGAATAATAGAGAGGATCTGCTTTAAATTGAGTGGTCGGGCAAGTACTCTTCTAGGAAGTAATGTTTAAGTTGAGATCTGAAGGATGAGAAAAAGCTCTCCATGAGAAGAGCAGGAAGAGTGTTCCAGGCAGAGAGAATAGCTAGTGGAAAGGCCCTGAAGTGGGAGAGAACATGGCATTTTTTTTTAAAGATTTTTTATTTATTTATTTGAGAGAGAGAGAATGAGAGAGAGAGAGCACGAGAGGGAAGAGGGTCAGAGGGAGAAGCAGACTCCTTGCTGAGCAGGGAGCCTGATGTGGGACTCGATCCTGGGACTCCAGGATCATGACCTGAGCTGAAGGCAGTCGCCCAACCAACTGAGCCACCCAGGCGCCTGAGAACATGGCATTTGTTAGAAACTGAAAGCAGGCTAATGTGGCTTGAGTGTAGGGTCTGAGGAGAGTGATTCACAGTACACCTTGTAAGATAAGGTAAGAGTTTTAGATTTTATATGAAGTGCAATGAAAAGCTCTTGAAAGGTTTTGGGCACGGCAGTCACATGATGTAATTGGTATTTTTAGAAGATCATGTTGGCTGCTGTGTGGAGGGGAGCCATAGATAAGCTAGAGTAGATGAGTAGGAGGCTATTTCAGCAGTCCAGGAAAGAGTTGATAGTGCCTTGTACTTGGGTGGTATTTGAGGATGTAGAGATAAATAAAGGAATTGGAGGCTTATTTTGGAGGTATAAATAATAGGCCTTGCTAATTGATTGAATGTGGAGGATTCAAGAGGAGAAAAAGAAATAAAGAATGACTCCTAACATTTTTCTGAGCAACTTGGTGGCACCGTTTAACTGAGATGAGATGCCTGGGGAGGGTTTTTTTGTTTTTTTGTTTTCTTTTTTAGAGGGGCAGCCATGTAGAAATCAAGAGCTCAGGTTTAGACATGTAAAACTGGAGGACCCTTTAAGATGTCCTAGTGGAGAGGGTGGTATGAGTTACAGTTGTTTGTATTGTTGTCTCGGATTCTGTGATTACGAACTCTTGGTGTCACCTCATTAGATTACCAGGAAATATTTAGAAAACATCTAAAAGAAAAATACCTAAACACAGGAGTCCATAAATATTATCACCATGGCAGACATATAGAGTCGTGACTGCTTGTTGTAAAAGAACATGGTATATCAGAAAAGACACTGTGTGGGATTCCTCAACAAGATAATTTTATCAAGATGGAACATGTATTTGATCCCTATGAAGAGGGCTCCAGCTCCTCCCAAGCTGTGGTTCTTCAGGGATGTGCGGGGATTGGGAAAACGGCTGTAGTACACAAGTTCATGTTCGACTGGGCAGCAGGAATGGTCACTCCAGGCAGGTCTGACTATCTCATCTATGTACACTGCAGAGAAATAGGCCATATTGCTAACCTGAGTGCTGCCGACCTGATCATTAACACTTTTCAAGATATAGATGGACCAATCCTGGACATTATTCTTGTATATCCAGAGAAGCTTCTGTTCATTCTCGATGGATTCCCTGAGCTTCAGTACCCTGTAGGTAACCAGGAAGAGGATCTTAGTGCTAATTTCCAGGAGAAGAAGCCAGTAG